TCTCTATCATGTTTCCTGCCCAGATTTGAAATTCATTTTAATACAGTTCTTTTCACTTAAGGCAGTAGTTTCATGGTGATTCCACATAAAAGCTTTGATATTTATTTAATTAATTAATTATATTTCTGGTTCGAGGTGGGTTACAGAATAATTAAAACACATAAAGACTGCAAAAAGACCACAAATACACATATTAAAATGTACCTCTATAAAAGCAACACATCAAAACGTTTCTGTATAAAATATGTATTAAAATACACAAAACAGAAAGGACACACATTTAAAATTCATGCTTAAAAGACTCTCTAGGTAGGCCTGCCTGAAGAGATATAAGCTAACAAAATGCAACATCTGTACTGTGATCTTCTTTTAGTGACAACATCAAGAACCTCTAGAGTTGCGAGACCACCACACGTTCCAGGAGTTTGCTTAGAAAGGGAAGATTGCCCAAAAGTTGTTCAATTGAGTGGGCTCCAGTGATGGTTTTTTCAACTGTGATTTTATTACAGCTTCTTTTAAGCTCGCTGGAATCCTGCCTTCCTGTAAGGAGGCACTAACCACCATCTTCACCCACTCTGCCAGACCCCTTCTGGCCTCCTTTATCAGCTAGGAGGGCAGGGGTCTAGGATGCATGTGGTTGCCCTTGCTTCCCCAAGGATCTTGTCCACATCGTCGAGCTGCACCAATTGAAATGAATCCATCAAAACTGGACAAGCAGGTGGTCGTATTACATCCTCAGAGACTGCCATTAACATGGTGTCTAGGTCAGAACAGATCTGCAAAGAACTGAGCAAATGCTTCGCAGTGAGCTGCTGAATGGTCAGGGATCCCATCATGTGAGGTTGGGTTTAACAAACCTCTTATAATTTGAAACAGCTCTGCGGAAGGAATCAAGTGGTACCTTTAACACTGATTTATTTTAGCATTAATTTTTGTTGATTTCATTTCATTTCCTCAGATGAATTGATAGAATACAATGTTCTCTGTGTATCTCTATTGAAACTAGATTGCTGTGGGGATTTCAGTCTGAAAAGCTGGAATATTGTGTCCAGTTCTGGGCACAACTGAAGAGAGATATTGACAAACTGAGATGTGTCCAGGGGAGGGCGACTAAAGGGTCTTAAGAACAAGCCCTATGAGGAGCGGCTTAAGGAGCTGGGCATGTTTAGCGAGAAGATTGAGAGGAGACATGATAGTCATGTATAAATATGTGAGGGGAAGTCATAGGGGGTGGAGAGCAAGCTTGTTTTCTGCTGCCCTGGATACTAGGACGTGGAGCAATAGCTTCAAACTACAAGAAAGGAGATTCCATCTGAACATTAGGAAGAACTTTCTGACTGTGAGCCGTTCAGCAGTGGAACTCTGCTGGAGCCCATGAGGAGCGGCTTAAGGAACTAGGCATGTTTAGCCTGAAGAAGAGAAGGCTGAGAATGATAGCATGTATAAATATGTGAAAGTCACAGGGATGAGGGAACGCAAGCTTGTTTTCTGCTTCCCTGGAGACTAGGACGCGGAACAATGGCTTCAAACTACAAGAAAGGAGATTCCATCTGAACATGAGGAAGAACTTCCTGACTGTGAGAGCCGTTCAGCAGTGGAACTCTCTGCCCCGGAGTGTGGTGGAGACTCCTTCTTTGGAAGCTTTTAAACAAAGGCTGGATGGCCATCTGTCAGGGTTTTTCTTTTTTTTGTCGTGTCTGGAGCGACTTGAGAAACTGCAAATTGCTTCTGGTGTGAGAGAATTGGCCGGGGTCTGTCAGGGAGGGGTGCTTTGAATGCAATATCCCTGCTTCTTGGCAGTGGGTTGGACTGGCTGACCCACGAGGTCTCTTCCAACTCTAGGATTCTATGAAAGCAGAATTATTATTTATTATTTATTTATTTCGAGGTTTTATATACCGACCCTCTCACCTTCAAAGAGGGATTCGGACCGGTTCACAACATTATTATTATTAAACTTTTATTAAACTTTATTTGTACCCCGCTAGCATCTCCCGAAGGATTCGATGCGGCTTACACAGGCCGAGGCCTCAACACAACACAACAATACAATCTAAGCAAATCAAACAATTAAAAACAGAATAAAGCAAAATAAACAACAGGCACAATACACTAAACACAATAAAACTGTGCCGGGCCAGAGCAATGGGTACAAGATTAAAAGTGCTGATGTGACAGGAGGTGTATATAGGGCTTCCAGGGCAAGTGCGATGTGCGATGTGCAGCAATCTTTGGTTCTGATAAAGTGCTTATGGGACTTGGTAGTGGAGATTTCCTAATCTGGGAAGGCGCATCGGAAAAGCCAGGTCTTCAAGTTCTTTCTGAAGACAGCCAATGTAGGGGCCTGTCTAAGGTCTTTGGGGAGGGTGTTCCAGAGTCGGGGGGCCACCACGGAAAAGGCCCTGTCCCGCGTCCCCACCAAGCGCGCTTGCGACGCCGGTGGGATCACGAGCAGGGCCTCTCCAGATGACCGAAGAGAACGTGTGGGTTCGTAGATGGAAATGCGGTCACGCAGGTAGGCTGGTCCCAAACCGTTCAGGGCTTTGTAGGTAAGCACCTGCACCTTGAATTGGGCTCGGAAAATAAATGGCAGCCAGTGGAGCACCTTGAACAGGAGGGTTGACCTCTCTGTAAGGGGCCCCAGTTAGCATCCTGGCTGCTGATCGTTGGACCAGTTGGAGCTTCCGAGCCATTTCAAGGGCAGCCCCACGTAGAGCGCATTGCAGTAGTCCAATCTGGAGGTGACCAAGGCATGGACCACTCCGGCCAGATCCGCCTTCGCGAGGTACGGTCGCAGTTGGCGCACGAGTCTCAGTTGTGCGAAAGCCCTCCCAGACACCGCCGACGCCTGAGCCTCAAGCGTAAGCGTTGAATCCAAGAGGACTCCCAAACTGCGGACCTGTGACTTCAGGGGGAGTGTAACCCCGTCCAGCACAGGTTGCCACCCTATACCCCGGTCAGGTTTACGATCGACCAGAAGGACCTCTGTCTTGTCGGGATTGATCTTCAGCTTGTTCCTCCTCATCCAGATAGACACAGCAGCCAGGCACTCGTCCAGCACCCGAGAGGCCTCCTTGGAATTAGGTGGAAAGGAGTAGTAGAGCTGTGTGTCATCTGCATAGAGGTGGCACCTAGCTCCAAAACTCCGGATGACCTCTCCCAGCGGTTTCATGTAGATGTTAAAAAGCATGGGAGACAGAATAGAGCCTTGCGGGACCCCACAGGTCAAAGGCCAGGGGTCCGAGCAGGCGTCTCCCAGCTTCACCATCTGGGATCGCCCCTCCAGGAAGGACCGGAGCCACGACAGAACCGTGCCCCCGAGACCCATCCCAGAGAGTCGTCCCAGAAGGATACCATGATCGATGGTATCGAAAGCCGCTGAGATGTCCAAGAGAACCAACAGAGTCACACTCCCCCTGTCCAGCTCTCTATGGAGGTCATCCACCAAGGCGACCAAGGCTGTCTCGGTGCCGTGACCAGGCCTGAAACCAGACTGTGTTAACATACAAAGAATATACAATAACAACACAATGCCACTTCATAACATGATTAAAATATCAGCACTATACACATTAAAACATTATCATCACATTGTCGAAGGCTTTCATGGCTGGAATCACTAGGTTCTTGTGGGTTTTTTTGGGCTATAGAGCCATGTTCTAGAGGCATTTCTCCTGACGTTTCGCCTGCATCTATGGCAAGCATCCTCAGAGGTAGTGAGGTCTGTTGGAATTAGGACAATGGGTTTATATATCTGTGGAATGGCTGGGGTGGGGCAAGGAGCTCTTCCCTGCTGCAGTTAGGTGTGAATGTCTCAGCTGATCACCTTCATTAGCATTTGAAGGCCTGCCTGAGCCTGGGAAAATCTCTTGCTGGGAGGTGTTAATCGTGCCTGGTTGTTTCCTCTCTGTTGTTTTGCTGTTGTAATTTTAGAGTTTTTTAATACTGGTAGCCAGATTTTGTTCATTTTCATGGTCTCTCCTTTCTGTTGAAATTGTCCACATGCTTGTGGATTTCAATGGCTTCTCTGTGTAGTCTGACATGGTGGTTGTTGGTGTGTTCCAGCATTTCTGTGTTCTCAAATAATATGCTGTGTCCAGGCTGGTTCATCAGGTGCTCTGCTATGGCTGACTTCTCTGGTTGAAGTAGTCTGCAGTGCCTTTCATGTTCCTTGATGCGTGTCTGGGCGCTGCAAGAGATTTTCCCAGGCTCAGCCAGGCCTTCAAATGCTAATGAAGGTGATCAGCTGAAACATTCACACCTAGCTCCAGCAGGGAAGAGCTCCTTGCCCCACCCCAGCCATTCCACAGATATATAAACCCATTTTCCTATTTCCAACAGACCTCACTACCTCTGAGGATGCTTGCCATAGATGCAGGCGAAACGTCAGGAGAAATGCCTCTAGAACATGGCCCTATAGCCCGAAAAAAACCCTACAAAAACCTAGTGATTCCAGCCATGAAAGCCATTATTAAATTATTATTCACAATCCCATTCATCATCCTCCTTTTCTATGTGGCTAGCCAAAGAATCAACAAAAACCAAACACCCACCAACAGGGGCAAACCCAACACAACCACCCAACAACAACCAAACAACATCAAACCAACTGCAAAGAGCCCAAAGAACCGCAACACAAAGAGGCAAAAAACAAGGAAAAAGAATTAAACGTGGGTTCAGATACTGGGATATAGGGCCTGTCTAGAAGAGCCCATCATCTTTTGTTGCTGTTGGTGTGAAGGTTTCTTTTTGGTATGTTTGTATGTAGGTTTTGTTTCAACCTGTCTAAATGCCATAACCGTTTAAAAAAGGGGGTGGTGGTCCCCATGTTTGGGAGATGGAGGCCTCTGCAAAGGAAGAGCGGGGAAGAAGGCCCCTCAAGTAGCCTGGGGCCAGCCCTCTGGTTTCCATGGCAACAGCAAACCTCAGGGAGCTCAAGGGGAGGGGGAAGAGGAAGGTTGGTCACGTGGCCCGGAAGAGAGTCTCTCGGTCGCCCCCTCTGGCAGGAAGTGGAAGGGAGGGAGAGAGAGAGGGGGAAAGGGAGAGATGGAGCGTGTGTGTATATGAGAGAGAGGCCGCGCGCCAGGAAAGAAGGAGGTGGGGGAGGTTTGGTGTCAAAGAAGTCTCCCCGCTTCTCTCGGCTGCTTCCGCTGCTGGTCGTCAAGGGGGAAGGCCGCCGCCGCTGCTGCCGCTGAGGGGGCGCGGTTGTCGGTGGCTTGTAGCCGCTGGGCCCGGCTCCGCCCCCTCCCTCCGCTTCTCTCCTTGCCGCCGCTTCTCCCCGCCCCCTCCCCAGCCGGGCCTAGCGAGGTAAGCGAGTGCCGCCGGCTTGGGGCCGAAATTCTTCGCAAGGGAAGGCCGTCAGCCCTGCTCCTTTCCCGCCGCTTAGCCAGGCTCAGGAACACGCCCCCCCCTCCCAATTTGGTTTTCTAGTAGGCCCTTTATTTACCAGTCTGCGCTTATCCAGGTTGAGCATCCCTTAGCCAAAATATTCAGGGTTTGGAAGATTTTGTCCTCTTTTGTGTATGCAGATTGAGCCATTTCGGAGTTAGGTCCCAAGGCGAAACCCAAAATCGACGTTTGCTTCATAATATGCCTTTCATCCATAGCCTGAAGATGGTTTTCTGCACATCAGGCAGCAAAAGGTGCCACTAACGATTTTGGCGGATTCCAAATTTATTTTATTTATCGTGTCAGGAGCAGACCAACCAGTTGTGCTGCTCGTGACATGTCTCCTTAATGAGTTTTCATGGTCCGTCTACCCACTCACAGGGATGGCCCATAGTTCAGGATGCAACTCTACAAAGGTATGGGCCTATCATTCCTACTGGACAAAGACAGAAGTCAAAGCACTCTGACTCTAAGAGTGCTGCATTTTTTTAACAAACAAACAAAACACAAAGTTTGCAAGCTTGGTAGCTGATTAAATGTCCTTTGACCAGTATCTGGCCACTTGGAGTGCCTCTGGTGTTGCTGCGAGAAGGTTCTCCATTATGCATGTGGCAGGGCTCAGGTTGCATTGCAGCAGGTGGTCTGTGGTTTGCTCTTCTCCGCACTCGCATGCCGAGGATTCCACTTCGTAGCCCCATTTCTTAAGGTTGGCTCTGCATCTCGTGGTGCCAGTCTGTTCAGCGCCTTCCAAGTCGCCCAGTCTTCTGTGTGCCCAGGGGGGGAGTCTCTCATTTGGTATCAGCCATTGATTGAGGTTCTGGGTTTGAGCCTGCCACTTTTGGACTTTCGCTTACTGAGGTGTTCCAGCGACTGTTTCTGTAGATCTTAGAAAGCTCTTTCTTGATTTAAGTCCTTGACGTGCTGGCTGATACCCAAACAGGTAATGAGCTGGAGATGTCACTGAAGAACCAGGACAATAAGATTCTGACTATAAATAGGTCAGCTGCTGTCCTCACCTTTTTGCCTTGTTTTTTATTCGTGTTCTATTTGAAATGGTCATATAACTGATCAAATAAATAAATATTATATGTCACTGCCTTGGTCCTTTCACTATTGGCTGCTACTTCCCGGCGGATGTCAGGTGGTGCAATACCAGCTAAACCATGTAATTTCTCCAGTGTTGTAGGGCCAGGGGCGGCTCAACCCATTACGCAAAGTAAGCATTTGCAGTATAGTTGATTTTGCCCAGGGGCGCTCTTGAGGCACTCTTGGGGGAAAATAGACCTTGACATATGTGAGTTATAGTTACTGGGATGTATAGTTCACCTACAATCAAAGAGCATTCTGAACTCTACCAATGATGGAATTGAACCGAATATGGCACACAGAACTTCCACGATGAACAGAAAATATATATCAGTGATTGGTTGGGGGGGGGGGGGCAAAATACTGTTTGCTTACTGTTGAAAATTGCCTAGGGCTGCCTCTGTGTAGGGCGCAGACACCCTGTGATAATGCGTCATGTCACATTAAGAGCCACATCTACTGTTTTAGCATGGTGAGATGTGTTCCACACTGGGCATGCATACTCAGCAGCAGAGTAGCACAGCACAAGGGCAGATGTCTTCACTGTGTCTGGTTGTGATCCCAGGTTGTGCCAGTCAGCTTTCGTATATTGTTTCTAGCGCCCATTTTTTGCTTGATATTTAGGCAGTGCTTCTTGTAGGTCAGAGCATGGTCCAGAGTGACTCCCAGGTATTTTTAGGTGTGCTGCAATGCTCCAGTGGGATTCCTTCCCAGGTAATCCTCAGAACTCGGGATTTTTGTTTGTTCTTAAGGTGAAAGGCACATGTCTGTGTTTTAGATCAGCTGGTTTCCCCTGTAATAGGCAGTAAGAGCACCTAGAGCTTCGGAGAGCTTCTGTTCAACCATCTCAAAGCTCCCTGCTTGAGCGGTGATGGCACGATTATCAGCATAGATGAAACTCTCTGTCCCTTCTGGCAGTGGCTGGTCATTTGTGTAAATGTTGAACATGATCACAGGATCCCAAATGAGGAATGCTCAATGCACATCCAAACACATGGCTGTGGCTGCAGGACATCCTCTGGGACAGTCTACAACAATGTTTCTCAACYTTCCTAATGCCCCGACCTCTTAATACAGTCTTAATACAGTTCCTCATGTTGTGGTGACCCCCAACCATAACATTATTTTGCTACTTCATAACTGTAATTTTGCTCCTGTTGTGAATGGTAAGCAGGATGTATTTTCACTAGACCAAATTTGGCACAAATACCCGATATGCCCAAATTTGAATAGTGGTGGGGTTGGGAGGAGGGGGGTTTGATTGATTTTGTCATTTGGGAGTTGGAGTTGTTGGGATTTATAGTTCACCCGGTGGCACAGTGGGTTAAAGTRCTGAGCTGCTGAGTTTGTTGACCAAAAGGTCACAGGTTCGATTCCGGGGAGCGGTGTGAGCTTCCGCTGTCAGCTCTAGTTTCTGCCAACCTAGCAGTTTGAAAACATGCAAATGTGAGTAGATCAATAGGTACCACTCTGGGGGGAAGGTAACGGCGTTCCATGCAGCCATATGACCTTGGAGGTGTCTATAGACAACGCCGSCTCTTCGGCTTAGAAATGGAGATGAGCACCACACCCCGGAGTCAGACATGACTGGACTTACTGTTAGGGGGCARCCTTTACCTTTTACCTTTTTACAATCTGAACTCCACCAATGATGGAATTGAACCAAACTTAGCACACAAAACTCCCATGGCCAACAGAAAACACTGGAAGGGTTTGGTGGGCATTGACCTTGAGTTTGAAGTTGTTGTTTACCTACATCCAGACAGCACTGTGGACTTAAACAATGATGGATCTGGACCAAACTTGGCACAAATACTCAATATGCCAAAATGTGAAGACTGGTGGAGTTTGGGGAAAATAGACCTTGACATTTGGAAGTTGTAGTTGCTGGGATTTATAGTTCGCCTACAATCAAAGAGCATTCTGAACCTCACCAACAATCGAATTGGGCCAAACTTCCCACACAGAACTCCCATGACCAACAGAAAATACTGTGTTTCCTGATGGTCTTTGGCGACCCCTCTCACACCCCCTGGTAACCCCCTCAGGGGTCCCGACCCCCAGGTTGAGAACCACTGGTCTACAATTAGGAGTATTATATTTATTTATACCCATTTTATTGTCCAAAGGGGACTCGAAGTGGCTTGACATAAAAGCATTACCACAGAATTTAAAATATACAAGTATAAAAAAATTAAAACAGAATTAAACAGAAACAACACTAAAAATGCAGTTAAAATCCAATAAAAAACATTTAAACTTAAAAACCGCAACACCCCTCCCCCCAACTAGATCTTAAACACCTTCTTCTTTAAAAGCCTGTCGGAATAAAAAGGTTTTAGCCTGTCTCCAGAAGGACAGCAGAGGGGGCCATTCTGGCTTCCCTGGGAAGAAGATAGTTCCAGAGTTGAGGGGTAGCCATATAGAAGGGAGCCCTCCCCCCCCATTCCCACCAACCAAGTTTGAGATGGAGGCTGGACCGATAGAAGGGTTTCTCCTGAGGATCACAGGGCAGGTTTGTATAAGGGGATGCAGTTGGCCAAATAGCCTAGACCTGAGTCATCTAGGGCTTTAAAGATCCTAACCAGCAGTTTGAATTGTGCCCGGAAGTAGACTGCGAGCCAGTGGGGCTGCTTCAACAGGGGGATTGTCCGCTCCTTGTAGCCAGCCCCAGTTAGTAACCTGGCTGCAGCTCTTTGGACCAGCTGAAGTTTCTGAAATCGATGGCCATCTGTCAGGGGTACTTTGATTGTGCTTTTCCTTCCTGGTAGTGGGTTGGACTAGATGGCCCATGTCATCTCTTCCAACTTCGATTCTATGCCCCCTTCCAAACAGTTGAATAAAATCCCACGTTATCTGCTTTGAATTGGAATATATGGCAGAGTGGACTCAGATAACTCAACTCAAAGCAGATATTGTGGGATTTTCTGCCTTGATATTTTGGGTTGTATGGTTGTGTGGAAGAGCCCTATGATTCTATTGCTTTCTGGTCTTTGAAACTGTTTCCTGATTTTGGCCCCCTCTACTCTGCTATATAAATCCAGATTTTCTGCTTTGAACTGGCTTATATGGCAGTGTAGAGTCTTATGATCCAGTTCAAAGCAGATCCTGTGGATTATTTGTTTTGATAGTCTGGATTATATAGCAGTGTAAAAAGGGCCTTTGTCTTTGGATGAACCTGTTTCCTTTGCTTGGCTGTTATTTTGGTTAGCATTACCTTTGTCCGCTGTCATTACATCTTGAGCCTTGGACCCATTCTACACAGTAGTATAAAATCCACATTGAACTAAATTATCTGGCAGTGTGGACTCAGATAACCCAGTTTAAAGCAGATGTGGATTATCTGCCTTGGTATTCTAGATTAGATGGCTGCGTGGAAGGGACCTTTGAAGTTTCGGCTCTGGAGTCATGTGCACAAATGTATCCTCAAGCACTGATGGTGATGCTTACATTTTAAGTGCCACATCACCTTGTTCCCTTTTAATATGGGGGCAAAAATACGTTATTACTGAGATTATGAAAGGAAGTATATAGGAGTTTGTTACCTATTCTTATGTGATTTCAATATTTGCAGCATCCAATGTTTCCCCAAGTATCTGTTATACATAAATGATTTATACTTTATATAAATTGCAAATCCACCTTAGTATTATTATTATTATTATTATTATTATTATTGAGATTATAGTTTTGAAACGCATGATATGAAGTGTATAGGAGATTGGTACTTATTCTTACGTGATTGCAATATTTGCAGTATCCAGTGTTTTCCTAAGTACCTGTTAAACACAAAGGATTCATACTCTCTGTGTATAAAGTGTCACATGTGCTGG